CTGAGAAAGGAGGAAAAACTCCGCAACTGGGAGTGCAGTGAAAAGCTTCTGGTGTAGGATTGAAATAAACTCCAGGTGGGAGGCGAGAAATACTCCCTCAAAGCACAGCTGAGAAACTGAGGCACGGAGGGATTGAAGGATTCACTCCACGGCTGAGCTATACCTGGAGTCTGACTAAGACAGCGACAGGAATAGGAATGGTGTGCTCCAGAGTTAGAGTTCTAAATCCATCCCGGAAAATCAAGATTCAGTTCCCATCCTTCCCACTGTCTCCCTGGACAGTGTTGGTGGAGAATTTGTCTTACCCCAGAGAGGGAAGCCTCACTGGATGCTTTTGTGGCTCAGTGAGAAGATGAGCTAGGATCCCTGATTTCTGGGAATGAGATGAGCCCATCTGGGAGTACACTGGGAATAGTGTCCCAGTTCTTCTGGAAGGGTGTGAGCTCACGGACTGCGGGGATGCTCCCACCTCCTGTCTCCATAGGGGAGAAGGTGAGGACGGCAGGACTGGCCAGTCTGGAACCAGAGGTTTTATTGTTCCACTTATTCCCTGATTGCTGATAGTCAGGACAAGGGGAAATGGCCTCAAGTTGTGCTGGTGAGGTTTAGGTTGGATATTAGGGGAAATTTCTTTCCCAAGATATGACACTATCACAGTCTCACCATGGCAATGGTGGAGTCCCCATCCCTGGAGGGATTTAAAAGACACATAGATGTGGCACCTGGGGACATGGTCTAGTGCTTGCCTTGGCAGTTAGGTGGACAGTTGGACTCCATCACCTTAGAGAGCTTTTCCAACCTAAACAAGTCCATGATTCTGTGATTCTGTGATTGCTCCGAGTTCATCTCAAAAGTCTGGGTTGATGCTGAACTGTGTTTGCTGCCAGCAGTCCCTGCAGTCCTGCCTGTGATTGGTGACCTGAGTGACAACCTCAATCCTTTCTCGAGGACATTTGTCCATTCTGAGCAGCACAGGAGGGCTCATGTTCCCGAGAGGAGAAACCTGGAGTGAGTTAAAGCTGCACTGCCTGGCTGGAGCAGTTGGGGCTTTGCTGTGGGAGGACTGACAATGCATTTGCAGTGCATTAAGGTATTACTGTAACTGCATGAGCGCTGAGAGGTTTCTGATCCTGCAAAGTAAAGATGAGCAGATTTGTCCCAGATTTATCAATGGAAGAAGAGTTCCCATTGAAACGGGAGGGAGGGGAAGGTGGGTGAGATCCTGCTCACAGCCAGGCTGGATTCTGTACACACTGCCTGGCTGCTGATGCTGCCATGGGGAGCTCTGTGGGGGAAAAGGACAACCCAAAATGCTGCTTCAGAGGCACTGGGATTCACCAAGAAGGAAGGAAAATTTCAAGGTGGAAGCAGGATGCCAAGGCAGCCCATGGCTGGGAATAACTGAGAGCTGGGATGAAGGCCCCACATGTTTTCTGCAGCCCATGTGCCCCCGGGAGGGGGATGCTGGGGTAATTCCCCTCATGGTCTGGGTCTGGCTGTGGAAAGAGGGAAGTTGTTCATCCCCTCTGCTTGGAAATCTGCCCTGAGAAGGCCATTAAGGGAGGAAAAAAGCAATGCTCGCTCTGCTTCCTCATAGAAACTGCATGTGCTGTTCCAGGGCAGCCTGTGGACCATTGCACAGGGGGATTTCTTAAATGGCCGTTAGGAACAAAATTAAATTTGTTGAGACCAGATGCAGCAGAAGAGATGGATGAAAAAGCAGTAGGAAATTTGCAGAGGGAACACTGGGACATCTCGCATTAGACAGCAAACCACATCCTGGAGGAGATGTTTTGGTGCTGCATCGAGCTCCCAGCTTATGAGAAAGCTTTGGCCAGGTTGGACACCAGGGAGATGTCCCTTCCCCTGGGCTTTCATTCCCCTTCCCTTGTGCTCAGACCTCCAGGTTTTGAAGCCTGGCCTAGGACCACCTCTATTTCTGCTTGACAAATGCCGGGCTTGTGCAGCTCCTGGATGCAAACTCCTGCAGGGAAGGCGGGTGAGGCTGGCGGGGGCTCACAGGGGAGGTGATGCCCTTGCTGCATCCCCGATGCTGCCCCAAAGCTCTGCTGGAGAGCCAGGGGAAAGCAGGAGCTGAGGGAAGGGCTGGGGAGGATCTGCCCCTCGGCTGCTCTCCGCCTGCAGCGCTGCTGCTCGCCTGGCACAGCCTAATTGGCTTTGATAGGATTACAGGGAAGCAGCGGAGGAGTAAACAGGGCCAGGAGGCCACGGCGGGATGGGAGAAATCCCAGCTCGACTCCCGACCAAAGCCGCCGGAGCTCAGGGGTTAATGTCTGCTGCTGTGCTGCAGCTGGGGGGTACCAGCTTAATCCTGATGCTCTTAAAGGAAAGGATTTTCCAAGCAGTATCCCAAAGGTCTGTGGCTCTCTCGGTAATTCCTGATGGGTTTGCCCCTGACAGATGCAGAGTAAATTATTGCAATTATGGAAGTTACACCTTGTGCCTCGAACCTTGTGTCTTCAATAAATGGTTATGGTTTGAGGCAGCCTCATTTGTTTGCCTTAAACCAGACAACACTGATTTATTGGCAGAAATCCTAGCAGGGAAAAGGGATGAGCCAGACAAGTTTTTAGCCGCCACACACATATATGTGGTGAAGGGATGATGGTTATTTCATTTTCATGAAAATAAAGCCTCAGACTTGTGTGTGAAGGATTACAGGATTTTTTCCCAACCTACAGGCAACAAGGGGAGCTCAAGGGTTAATGGTGCTCCAGGGCTTTGCTTCCTGCCTTGTCTGGGTTTTGGGATGGCTGGGAGATGCTGTGGGTTGGGAGGGAGGAGGAGATGCTCTCCCTGCGAGTATGGTGCTGGTTAGCACCATGACCTGCTGCAGGAATGGTGGGGGAGCAACCTCCCAACTCCCTCCTCCCAGGACATCCACACCCTCAAGAAAAGCAGCTGTCAAAATTGGGGCTTAAAGCCAAGGCTGGAGCTAGCAACAAGGGACTTGTGTCCAAGTCTGGGGTGGGGTGACATGGCCTGGAGACAATTCTCCTTGTGTGGGGCCATCCATCTTTCCATGCACACCTTGCTGGGACTCATTCCCTCGGGAATTCTCCAGGGTTTCTGTGGCAGAGGGTGTTTCCCCCCTGTCAGCAAAGAGGTCAGTGGGCTCAGCCCAGCCAGGCTCCATCCTCACTGTTCATCTGCCATTCAGGGTCTTGAAATCAGCTCTTGCACCAGTATTTATTGTTGTTACCTCCCCAGATTTGGGTATTTTGGACAGCTTGTTTCTGATTTAAAGTATAAATAAGTTTGATCTTTTCATCTGTTGTTCCCCCTACCTTCTGAAGGCTGTGCTGGTTAAAAATAACTGGGATGATGAGCTCAAGTGGGGATGGTGGAGGGGTTTTAATCTCCATCGTGGCAGGACCACCCATCTGGCTCTGGAAGGGAATGTAGGCCCTCTCCTCTCCTCTCCTCTCCTCTCCTCTCCTCTCCTCTCCTCTCCTCTCCTCTCCTCTCCTCTCCTCTCCT